GCGAGCTAAGCCACCCTAAACTTCAGTCTGTCCTCAACTCAATGAGACCTCCATGCTCTGTTTGGGGTTTCCCCTCGCTGTGCCAGAGTCCAGGAAGTACCTCTGGGCAGACCTAGGGTGACCTAGGCCTCACTTCATCTGTTTCCCTTCTCTCAGGAATCACAGTCTTACACTGTCTACTGTCCAATGTCTGAAAACAGTGATATTGTATATTTTTCCCCCAGTTTTCCAGTTGTTTAATGTGGGAGGGCAAGTCTAGTACCAGTTCCTTGCTCATGGCTTGATGTGGAGTCCCAGAGCCTTCTTTCAACCCCTTTGTATGTGACTACATACAAAGAGAGAAGATTTGGTCTATGAAACTTAGATAATTACCTGGTAATCACAAAATTAGGGACAGGGTCAAAAAGGACATTTATGAAATATTCTGGGATGGTCATTAAAATACAGATTCCCAGGCCACGCACAAATCAGAAGGTGGAACTGGGGTCCAGAGGTCTGCATTAATTTAAGTAAGCTCCCTAGGTGACTATTTGACAACACTGCCATCGTGCCTCTAAAGCCAAGACTGAGGACCAACTGGAGAGAGCAAGAGTTACGTGGAAAAAGTACTTCTGCCTCATCTCATTCCAAAAGGTTTTGAAGGTGGAAGAGCAGTCATAGAGGTCAGAAAACCTGTGCGCACTCTAAGGTTTAGTAATAGCCCGTGAGCATACTCTCATCATTTTCCAGCATGTTTCCTTGCTTTCCAGTATCTCTTCTTGCCAGATACTCCTCCTTAGCTCAACCCACTAAACTCCTTTTAGCTGCCAGACTTCTCCACCCACTAATAATTCCCAAAGACTGTATTAAATATGGCATCTTATATTTCTGTTCCAAAGTCTATTTTCCCAGACATGTACCTAGGATGTTTTCTGCCAGTGCCAAACTGGCAGCTCAGAGGCTGGTGGCTGCTGGCCACACTTTTGATCTGCCTGTCCTCACAGACTGTTGCTTCAGCCATTGGTTGCACAGTACAGCAAGGTGACCATCCAGGAGTGTGTGCCCAAGGACACAGGGGCAGGGGCTCTGCTGGACATTAACAGAGCTGGTAGGTGGTCAAGGATCAGTGCACATGGAAATTGTAATGCTAGAGCAACGATTCTGGAACCTCTGATTTGAACCAGGGTGAGGGAGACTGGGGAGGAAGGCAGGTAGTTTGTAGTGTGAGGATCTGGCCGTCTAAAGGTACGTAGGAGTGAGTGTAGGGCAAGTTGTTTCCTGCAGTGCGTCTTTTTTGGACAGCTTCAGTCCCCACTTGTTCATGTATTGTATTTGTTCAAAGCACCAAGAGATTTGTGTTTTAAGTAAGAAAAAACGAAATTCAGGAGAAAAGATTTTGAGTTCTTTGGCAGAAACTTCCAAATGGAAACATAAGAAAACAATTAAATTCATGATCTGTAGAGGTTCACTCAACTCGTATTCTCCAGGCTTTTCCCCACCCTCCCTTGAACCTCTTGCCAGCTCCCTTCAAAGAACTTCTGAAATGCTACTTTCTCCACTTTTTTCAATGTGGAAATGCTACATTTCAAGGAGTAACTGGTTTGCACGCATTATAAAGGCCTATAATTAGAAGCTTGTACTGGCTGCCTTGTCAGATTGTTGCAACTTTGGGGAGCTCTGTGGGCCATCTTGTCCAAACCTGTCATTTGACAGGTTAAGAAATTGAGACTTGGAGATTATTATTCAGAGTAGCAGGGCTCAGAGAGAAACTCTGGTCTTCTGACTCCCAGGAGGACAGTCTGCTCTCATGCTCGTGTCCACCAGCATCTCTGTCGTCATCGTTTATTACCAAACACTTACCACGTGCCAGCTACATTTTTTCTCGTTTAATTCTCAAAACAGATCAATGGGAAAGTTTCTTAAAATCAACTTTATTGAGGTCTGGTTTATATGCAATAAACTGTATACAATTTAAAGTGTACAATTTGAGTTTTGACAGATGTATACACCCCACAAAAACACCACTACAAGCTGTATACAGAGCATTTCCATCACCCCCGAAAGTCCCTCCTTGCCACTTCCAGATCATCCCTCCTCTGTCCCAGCCTCAGGCAACTACTGATGTGTTTTTTTGTACTGTAGAGTAGTGGGCATTTTCTAGAATTTTATATAAATGGAAGCATAAGGATGTACTCTTTTGTGGCTGGCTCTTTTCACTCAGTGAAATGATTTGGGGATTCATCCAGGTGGTCGTGTGTATCATTAGCCTGCTCATTTTTATTGCTAAATAGTATTCCATTGTATGGACATACCACGGTGTGTTCACCGGCTGATAGACATTTAGATCGTTTGTTATCCCCATTTTTAAATTAATGAGTTGATTTGTTATTTACTTAAAAATTTTTTTTAGCAACAGGGTCTTGCTATGTTTGCCCAGGCTGGTCTTGAACTCCTGGGCTCAAGTGATTCTCTCACCTCAGCCTCGTGAGTAGCTGGGACTACAGGCGCACACCACCACACCTGGCTTATTATTCCCATTTTAAAGGTGAGCAGACTAAGGCAAAGAAAGGTGGACTTAACTACAGTCACACAACTAGTAAATGGCAGCACCAGGATTTGACTATAGATCTTGACCCAAGGGCCTTCGTTCTTAGCCTCTGGGCTATAATGAATGGTATGACCCTCAGATATGCTGGCATCTCCTTCCGTGTGTAGGCTGTCCTGATGTCAGCTTCCAGATTTGTAGTATAGAGGGCCCAGAACGATTGATGGGATGCTTAGTAAAATTTCATTAAGGAAGGAAAGAAGAAAAGATGCCTATTTTTAGAGAATACCTCTATTATTTTTTTCTCCTTCATAAACTTGGAATGTGAAATTTGAGATTTGGTCCTTATTTTGGCCCTGGAGGTTTGAAGCATAAAACCATTTCTTGTCAGAGAGTGCACCTGCTTTTACCTTCTAGGAGGGATGCATCTTCCCCGGCATAAATCTGTTTTCCATGCAGTTATGCTTGAGTCCTTTAATGGAAAATCAGTTCATATGTTACACTTCACACTTGACTTAGTCCATTTCACTGTATATGAATGTTTAGAATCCATTATGCAGTAGGAATCATATGTTACATATAACTAGTTTCTAGAATTATCTTTGCTCAGAGAATTACTTGGTTGGCTAGTGAAGGCTGCTCCTTTGAACTTAGAATATCCAGTGGGTGGGGAG